TGAAGAAAAAATAATGAATTGGTTTTAGGTCGCCTTGATTCTCATCCACAGCAACACAGTGAGGATTATCAGTGGTCAGAGGTAAGTAACATAACATCATAAAATCGAAATATTTCTAGTATTTCGTACACAATGTGTGCAAATGCACGAAACATCCACATTGCGCTTGAAAATCCCGAATGTCATTGGCAGCTGAGCTGCTTGGCGTACACCTAAAAAATTGTCACGAAATGTTCCTCTCGATGCCTCAAAGCTAAATTATCGATTGGATCAATAAAATATGAAACCTCAGAAGTAAATTACCAATATTATGAGAGTAACTTCACCATAGAAAAAGCATTGAAAAGCACTTACCCAAAAGAACTTTTCGTGCGCAATAAGATCCAAGACTTCAAGCACCATGGGCTAGTGTGTGTATTTGCACAAGGTTGCAATGACTCAACTGTGTCTCAACTGGTTTTCTGATTTTTCTAATTTTCTACATCTTCAGGGTCTCATCAGTGCTGCCCGATTTGTTGTCGCAGCTGTACATCAACTATGTGAGGCAGCTAACGCTCTTGTACAAGGCCAAGCAAGCGAAGAAAAACTGATCTCTGCTGCTAAACAGGTGATTTTCACTTTTTTCATAGACAAGTAGCAGTTATTGATTTTATTGATTGAAGGTGGCGGCGTCTACTGCTCAACTGCTTGTGGCCTGCAATGTCAAGGCTGACATGGATAGTCAAGCACGACGACGACTTCAGGCTGCTGGTCACGCTGTGAAGGTAATTTATAAACTATTCAAAATTATTAAACGGGAATACTATGAAAGTTATTGGGCATGATTGGGCTAGGATACTATATTTCTCTAGTTGAATTTTTCCCAAGGAAACATACTAATCTCTAAGTAGGAGAACCTGTTAAGCAAAAGTGACGCGCTAAATGACGGACATTTGACATAAGTTGTTACGCGGGAATGCTTGCAGCAAAGGTTTTTTAGTTTTTTCCCTGATATAAAGTCATCTACTAAGGGAGAATTCTTAATTATGAATACAACGCATTCCTCGTTTGCTATTCTTTCTGTAGCCTA